AAGGGGAGATCTTGGTGTGCAGCCACTAACATGCAGGAGAGCTCCAAGGGCTCTTGAGCTGTCCACTATTTATAGAGTAAGATAATTGACCTATGGTCAAATTCTCATGGGAACAAGATATCTAGGTCCCTACTCCAGCCAGTGTTTTGGCTGTATTGCCAGCCATCCCCCAAAGTCCAGGTTCAACTTATTACATCGAATGTTTTGATGGCCATGATGGCCATGGCCCGAGCAGGAGCTGGGGGAAGGGGGTGGGGGGTGTGTGGAGGGAGAAGGAGAAAAACGGGGAGAGCACAACGGGGAGAGCCAAATTCCACTATCAGGTTTTGTAAAAATGTTTCCCTCCTGGATGGTTTATGCCTCCAGTTCTAAAAGGACAGAAAAATTACCATGTAGCATGGTAGAGGGTTGCATCTTATACCATTGCTATTTTCATCTGCAAACAGCTAAATGCTTTACAAAGAAAGGGTGCCACAGAAAAGGTAGCTAATTGGAGGCACAGAGGTTTTGTCCGTATTTTAGCACAGATGTAGGCTAACACAGTTCTTATGACTGGATGCTGTGCCTGTGCAGCAAGTCTCATGGCTGGGTTTTCAACATGTCCATAGACTGCACATGAAACCAGAACCTTTGTATGCTGCCAGGTGCATCCAGGCAGACTAAACAGACAGTCTAAGAGGCCTCTGTTATTGGGAGGGATAAAAACTTCAGAGCAAGCCCCGCTCTCCACTGCTTCACTGGTCAATCAAGATCAGAGGGACTTGGTTGCTCATGAGGCAAATGGTAGCTGTTCCTTGCCTTGCTTTGCCTTCCCTTCCCTAGGTTTGCCTTAACCTGCCTTGCCTTTGCGTTTCCTTGCCTCACCTTGCTTACCCTGCTGTGCCTTGCCTTGTTCTGCCTTGTCTTGCCCTGCATTGCCATTGTTACCAAAGACAGGCTTCTGCTTTGTTTATAACCATATGCTAACTAAAATGAATTAATTACTGAGCTTCTTACTGTGTGAGAAAATAGTTGGTCACTGAACTGATAAGATGGGATAACAAGAAGTAGTTAATCACCTCAAGGTTCTCTCCTATGTCAAAGAATGTACTCCTCTACTAATTAAGACAGAGCTGGGGCTACTTCAAGGAACAGCCTTATCATCCTCAAGAAGCTGGCAAACATCTACTGTCTTGAGATTACTCAGTACTTTAAAAGGATAATGTGAGGAAGGGTATCCTTACCCAAATGACCACCGAGGAGCTCATGCCTGCACAGAAGTAGTTTGCAGATGCTGCAAAATTTAATATGTGTGTGCAAAAGGGTTATTTCATCCTCCTAATGAATATGTCAGCCCAGCTGGAGTTATTAGGTAGACTGAATAATGAGAATCTTTTGTGTGTAAATAATGGGTGAATGTCTCTTGTAAGGTGTGCTAGATTTGTGAATTTCCACCTAGCACCTGATGTCAAATAAAGCAATATCTCCTCTCTAAACTGCTTCTGGCTTTGAGAGCTTTTGTTGCAGGTAACAGCACAACATGCCCTGACTTGCCTTGCCCTGCCTTTCCTGTTTGCCATCCATTACCTTGCTTTGCCTTGTCCTGCCCTACATTGATCTGCCCTGCATTCACCTGCCCTGTCTTGCCTTGCCCTCCCCTGTGTTTCCTTCCGTTGGCTCGCCTTGCCTTCCCTTGCCTGGCTTTACCCAAGCTTGCCCTTGCTCTGCTCTGCCTTGCCTTGTCTTGCCCCCTCTCCCTGCTTTACCTTGCCTTGGCTTCCCCCTGCTCAGCCCTGCCTTGCTCTGGCCTGCATTGCCTTGCTTTTCCTTACCCTGCCCTTCCTATCTCTGCCTTGACTTGCCTTGTTTTGTCTCACCTTGCCTTGCCCTTCATTGCCTTTCCTTACCTTACTATCCTTGCTTTGCTTTGCCTTGCCTTTCCTGCCCTGACCTACCCTACCCTTCCTTGCCTTGCTTTGCCCTTCCCCTGCCCTGTCCTTCTTCCCCTGCCTTGCCTTCTCTTCCCCTTCACTTTCTCCTTCCCCTGCCTTGCCTTCTCTTCCCCTTCACTTTCTCCTTCCCCTTCCCCTTCTTTTATTTTCTTTCTCCTAAGCACAGCTGCTTAAATCCTTGCCCTGTGAAATCCAGTTGGATTAGCAGGCTGAGTCAGTCAGGGCAGGATACTTTTAATACAGGGGCAAATTCTATTGTCAAATGTCTATTTCCAGGTGGGTTTCCCTATATAACATCAAGCCATAGAGGAAAATTAATGATTTTCCCTTGCTGAAATGTTCTATAAAAGGTCCAGTGTAAGGCCAGGGAAGGTCATGGTGGTGGGCTGGGTTGGTAATGGCTGTGGCCAGTTGTCAGATGCCAGGGGAGCTGGAGTTTATGCCTGTGCCAAATGTCTGCCTTTCTTGCAGCTTTAGGAGTTGTGTGGCAATCTCCTTAGGTTAGTACAGAGTAGAGTGCAGTAACTGTGGCTTGCTGCTTGTTTTAGGTATTTACAGATTTTGCAACTTTCCCCGCGCTCCCTGCAAACCTGTAGCATCCTGGTGGCAGCAATGCACCAGGACCCCACCATGACCCAGAATTTCACTTACAATTTTGCATTAACCAGTGCTAAATCCCTGTTTCACATAGTTAAGATGCTCTCACACTAATGTTTTTAAATCTCTTCTGTCATCTGGTTGCACCTTTTGATTTGCTAAACTTAATTTATTGGGGATTTGCAGATCAGTTCAATCCTGGGGACGTCACTCTTGGCATTTATGTCTCTAGAGGTGAAGTGATGAGTCACAATGTTCAGAGGTGCTCCCTACTCACCCTGTGTGCTTAAAATTCTTTTCTCATCCCCAAAGTCATCCTGGACTTTCAAGATTCACTGGGGATGTTTCCTAGGGCTCAAGGGAGAATCTACATATAAGGAATTGCTGATGGCATAAATTATCAGCTCTGCAATCTTCACTGAGTCCTGGGTTGAGGAAAAGCAATTAAGGACATATTGATCACTGGGCCAATTTCAAAATCTACCCTTGGGGGCCTGACCTACTTTGGACTAAGCTTTTTCATTGGCAGTTTTCCCCCTGCTCCCAAAAGTAGCTGCATCCATAAAGACACTGCTGCTCTCCTCAGATAGAAGTGGGGTGACAACTCCAGGAGTCCCCCATGTTGGATGGAACCTGCAGCTGGTAACACCTAAGGGGATGCATCAGTGCTGGGCAGAAAAATCACAGCTGCCTCCACAACATGCGTTCTCAGCCCAACCCAGAGCTGACCACTCTGCTAATGGAACAACTGGGAAAAGCTGGGCAAACCCATTCTTACTTTTTTTTTCTTTTTGGCCAGACCCTTGGCCTGGAGCCCTTGAGAGACTGTAACAATGGGGTAATCTGCAAGGCCAGTTTTACCATTGCTTTTTGGAGTGATTTACCAAGAACAGCTGAAATAGCTGGAACAAGGTATTGCAGTCATTCCCAGGCACAGAGCACAGGCACTGGGGAGGAGAGGGGGCTGGCTCTTCTTCATCTGCCCCATGGGCCAGCAACGAGTCTGTCCCAGTCAGGCAGCACAGGCTGTACAGATATGAGAAGAGCATAGAAGACAGAAGACTGAAGACAGGTCTCCAGTCACCCTATCGCTGCCCCACATAGACCTCTCCCTCCCTAGAAGCTCAGAAGCACCTGCTCATCCTTTTTCTCTTTCCTTCTGAAAGGTTGAAGAAAGAAACTGCTCTTGTTTTGCCCCAAGAATTGCATGCCCAGCACTTACCATGGATGAGATATTTCTTCTCATGTAGAGTGATCTCAAACTTGAATGCAACCAGTCTGACCACAATCCCTCTGATTTCCCTACACGTTTTTCAGACAGGGGCAGCAACATGTGTGTTTCCCTGCCAGAATTGGTTCTCAGGAAAGACAGTAATCACAGCATCTACTCAAGTATTATTTTATATGCATGCATATGTGAATATGTATAAGAATGTGTACATGAGTGTGTGTATGTGTGGGCTATTTGGGGGACACAGAATTTAAGTGACCACCAAATACTTACCTCTCCCCTGCCTCCTCCTATTTGCTTAAATTTAAAGTAGGCTGTCAGACATCATTGGAATTTGGGATGTTCTGCTCATGATAGAAGAAAGTGCTTGAGAGGGAGCTACGTTCTGCCTCTGATATCCTTATAGCTGGGAAAGGCTCCAGGAAATCAGTCTCCTCTGAACCGGGATGCAACAATATGGAGAAAAAAACTTAAACTCTGCCCTCTGCTAAAATTTATAAACTTTACAGGCTCTGTGTCTGAAGGTAACATGGTGGTAAAACTCGATGATTTTGGACCTCTAGTAATATTGTCACAAATGAGTGGAGTACAGGGCACAGCAACAGCAAAGCAAAACAGAAATCCTGCTTGGTATTACAATGAAGTGAAAAAAAAAATTGGTGGGAAAAAAAAAAAAAAGAATCAAACTCTGCCCACCTAACCTTGCTTGGATACAAAGTTTTGACTCTGTATCAATCATGGATCATGTATAAGCTGAAACCTCTGTTTGAAGGTTGCAAAGTAGTGCTGCGCTGTCTGGAATTGGAGCGTTGGAGAATGAGCCAGGCTTCTTTCTGCTAATGGGCTCAGTTGACCTGGGGCTTTTTGTCTCCCAGTAACTGTCTCCCAATCTACACTGTAAACTCTGCTCTTTGTAAAGGGCCGCTAGCAAACAGGATAAGGAGAGGTGTCTGCACTGAGCTAAACCTATGATTTTGCTGCTTCATTTCCTCTAGAAATACAAAATGGTAGGGGAAAGGCATCCAAAATTTGCAGAGATCAGAGGTGAGGCAGTCTGGGCAGCTGGCCAAGAACTTCCCCATCAGACTTGTGGAAAGTGGCTTATCTGGGAAGCAGCTTGAGACTCAGCCAGAGTCCCAGACCTGAGAGCAGGCAGTGCGCAAGCGCAGAGGTGGGGCTTATGCTGGGGCTTTTTGTTAGATATAAAAGGCTTAGATGGGTCAATGCTAACCACAGCGCCTGGGACGTGGATGAGGGGAGCTGCGCAGAGAGCAGAGAGTGGTGCTGGCCATGGGGGGGGCAGCCCCAACCCTCCTGGCACTGCTCAGCCTAACAGCAACTACTTGCGATACCCAGGACACCTGCCCAGGTGAGTGGGGCACAAATCCTACTGCCATCCCACTGAGACAGCCTGTTTCATCTCCCCCGTAACACAAGAAGCTTGGGAGAGAGGGAGAGAGGGAGAATATTATTTTTTCCTTCTATGTTTATTAATTCAGCTGCAAGTGGAAGGAGGGTAAGAGGGAGACTGAAGTCCCAGCAGCCACTTTACAGAACTGCTGGCTCCAATCAAAGATGTGCATCCTCCCCCACTCACCAATGGGATCTCAAGGAGCTGGCTGTCCCAGTCAAGGTTTTCCATCCTGGTTAAGGCTTTTTGTTCATGGTGTCTTGGCCCAGTTAGTAAAGGATGCAGAGCAATACAAAGGATCAGTCAAGTGCTTGCTGGATGCCAGGCACCCGGGCACCCTAGGGATGCTGCACAACACAGCTTTCTGTCTAAATTCCTCAAGGCCATAGAGGCAATTTCAAACTGACCTGCTGTCAGGAAATTTAGTAGAACCTTTACTGTCCACTGATCCGTCAATGTCACTTACTCTACTGTCAATACCCCCTCAGGGCACCTCTCAGCTTTTGTTTTATTAAGCTACGTTATATTTGTCATACATGTAATGTCATATATAACAGCCTCCTCTCCCACCAAGCTTCCCTGAAGACAGAGAGATTCAGTGTCTAGCTTTTCTTACATGTGAGATCCTCAATGCCCCCTGCTAATCCATACACCACCTCCAAACTCCCACCTTCATTGCTTTTGCTTGCACTGTTCCTCAACTCCAGAGGGTTTGGCTTCCTCTATAAGACACTTCAGAGCCCTAATAATCTCCATGAAGACTATTTTAATTTCCTCAGAGGTGAGAATAGTGGGACTCAGTGATGCTGACCGGCTCGCCATTCTCCAAGGATGCCCAGGGATCGCAGGTGCCTCTGGCCCAAAAGGAGAACCAGGTCTCCCAGGAACAAAAGGTGAGGCCCTAAATGCCAGTGATGGATATGGCTGTGTTGTTTTGGGTAGGGGAAGCAAGCTGAGGCTGCAGCAGGCTGGCCTGGTACTGGCTTCTATGAGCAGCTGGAGAGTCAAATCGGCAGGAAAACACCCCATCTAAAGATCCAGAAGGATCACACAGCGTTGTCTTTTTTTCCTGAGTCCTGTCAGAAGTCTGAAGTGGTCCTGGGGTGTGAGCTATCCTAACTCACTTGTTTCTTCTACAGTAAAAACATCCATTTATTTTCTGAGTCTTTATTGAACAGTCTGGGCAGGAGGGAGGCTGCAATGGTCCTGCATGTCTATGGGGGAACAGTTTGGGAATTGGACTGGTACCACCTACCCCAGGAAGCAAGAGAGATGGAGGTCTTAAGGGTTTTCATAGCCAAATCATAGAGAAGGTGAATCCCATTAGCAGAGGGAGCAGATCCACTGTGGCAAAACAGGAATTCATACGTGAACTGCAAATCAGGACTCCCACTGGCAGTAGCAGTGTCATGTAGCTTCAACAGAATGAGTGAAATATGTGGCAAGACTGAATCTAATTAACGAAACCCAGCCTCCTTGTTTCTGCAAAATCCAAGGCCCAGCTGCTTGGGCTTCTGTATCATCTCCCCTCTGGTCAGCTTGCAATGTGCATGCATAAACTGAGTCTTTCCTTGCAGGAGAAATGGGAGCCCAGGGATTCCCCGGGAAAGCAGGACCACCTGGCACAAAAGGTAATGCAAAACATATTCAGCTCTAATTCATAAATCTATCCAAGTTCAGGACATGTACCGGGAGACTGGGTCTACAGAGATGAACTGTAGAGTTGGTCATAGTCCAAGAAACAGCCCTGAAGTAGCGTAGGCAAAGCATTATTTGGGGGTATGGATCTTGCATGGGGTCAGTACTAGAAATACTGTCCTTGAGTAGTACCACATCACAGGGAAAGATACTACTACTCGTCTTGAAGTTCTCCACTGAAATCAGACCTCTCCACATTCCCTAGTCCTACCCTAACCTGCCTCCACCATGACAAACCTGCCCAAATGCCCCCCCCCTCTCTGAGGAGCTTTGGGGTGCTTCAGCCAATAGGTCTGATGCTGAGTGCTTCCAGCAGCCTCCAGGCCTGGACTCGGTATGCAATGCCATTGTAGCCCACTTGACCAGAAGGATGGGATCAAACCACCAGGAAAGAGCTGGCACAGGGTGAAGCATGGAGGAAATGGGGGGTTCTTTGCAATGGGATGAGTCCCTGAAAAGAGGAAGATGTCTGCTGAGAAATTGGCTTTTACTCCATGGCTGTGCTTAAGGTCTTCAGTGGGATCTGCATGCTGCAGATATCGGAAAAGTGTCTCTCCTAAAGAAACTCATTCCCAGTACAATGTGGCACTCAGGAACTGAGCACTGGTGCACTGACTAGCTGGGAAAACTAGCTGGAAGCACCAGCTGGGACGCTCAGCAGAGTACCATGGCTTTGCACCACTTGACAGCCTCTCCTGTACATTTGGGACATATGGAGGGGGTGGACCCCACACATGGGGAGCCACAGTAATTCACTCGCATTTAGTCATCTGTGATGAGTATTCTCCTCTTGTCTCTTGCAGGAGCAGCTGGAGAGCCTGGCTTCCCAGGACCGAAAGGTAAATCATGCTGTGGTGAATTTGTCATGTGAGCTGGTTTAGTTAAACTTCCACCGTTTGCTGTTCTGGAACAACAGACCAGGTGGGAGTAACTATAGAGAAATAAAAGTACCCCACCAGGTACTGCATGGGGCTGTTTGGTGACATTTGTGCCCCATTGTAGGCTCAGCCCCAGTTTGGGTGGTGGGAGCAGCCCCACTCTCAAACCGTCTGTTCAGAACAGGGGCTGCCTCCAGTGTGGGCGCCTGACGTTGCTGCCCAGCACTATCAGCTACAGAAACTGCAAGGCTTCACATGCCCCAGCCTGAGGGACCAGCCAGATTTGGGCAGACCTCTGAGCTTCCCAGGCTGTGGCAAAAGCAGAGGCTCAGATGAAGCTCAACTGCTGCTACTGCTAGAGGAATGTGTCTCTCTACCAGCACTAGCAATAGGGGAGAGGGACAACATGCATCCTGCATGCAAGGGCCACTGGCACCTGTCGCTAAGCTCAGTCTGCACTGTGGCATCCCTCACTGCAGCTTGGGTTGTTAATAGCTGGGGACCAAGCACTGTTGATCTGGTGGCCAGTTCAGCAATTTGCTCCAACTGTCACTGGAGCTGCTCCCAAACCACTGACTAAAGCCCTCTGCCAGCAGCAGCCACTTCCTTCTCGGGGCTTTTGACCCTGCCTTCCCATGGGTGCATTTCTGCCTGTTTCCCACACCCACCTGCTCCCATTCCACATGTTCCAGCCCAATGGGATTCACTGGCACAAAATGTTCGTACCCAACTCTTTGGGCTGGCCAGCATCAGGCAGAGCAGCCAGATCCAACAGAGACACATCTTGTGTCAGTCTTGCCCTTTGGACCTCCCAGCCCCAAATCAGATGTTAGGGGAAAATACATCATGCTGAGAGACAAGGCTGTTGCTTCTTGTGCCTCTATAACGTGTCCCACACCCTGGCAGCCAGTTCATGTGCCTGCTAGATATCCTGGAGAGCTGCTCCTGGTGACTGAGGGTGCTGGGTATCACTGCTGTAATTACAGGAGTCTGTGATTTGGGTTCCCACCTGCACTTGTCACTCTGTGCAGATGTGCCTTTGATGGGCTGGTGGGTCTCCTCTGGTGGGCCTGGGAGCAGCCAGGACAGAACATATGTTGAATTACTCCTCCTGACTGCTATCTCTGTGCCTTTGTTGTGTGCTTGGATGAGTTAAACACTTCCCTTAACATCACAGCCCTTTACCAGTGCAGCAGGATTTGTCTTGAAAAGCAATGATGCCATGTGCTAGAGGAGGGGAGGGCAGGGTACAGAAGGTGAAGACAATTGATGGTGTTGTTTGTTCAACAGGAATGAAAGGAGAGCCTGGATTTCCAGAAACATGGGGTGAGTTTCATCCTAGGTCCTTCATGCCACCATTGGCTTTGCAGAACAGGTGGTGGTGGACTCCCTGCACCAGAAGTCAGGACAGACCAGCAATAAAAAACACAGAGTGACACAGAAGGACTGAGTAAGGACATATCACTGTTAACCCATTTGCTCCTCACAACCACATGCAGCTTCTGTGTGTCTACTCTGTAATCCAGCCATGCCAGGAAAGTCATGTCCTCTGAGAATTACTCGAGTCACCTGCCCTCTGTGTGTGACAGGGGAGGTCTGTCTTAGTTTTTGAGAGCCTCAGTGTCCTGGTTTCCAAGATGAAACAACCAGAAACACCTCAATAGACATACTGGTACTTCGAAGGCAGTTATATCACCACACTTGCTGTGACATGTTCAGTAGACACAGAGTTCACATGTGTCATAGTGCTCAGACTAATTTAATCACTTTAAAAAAAAAAAAAAAAAGAAAGAAAACAAACAAGCTTCAGTTGGCCCATCTGTCTCCATGAGCTACAACCTGCTCTGGCTACACATGGATGCCATAGGGCCACAGTCATGTGCAGAGGCTTGGGCAGATCAGAGCTGCTCTAACACCTGAAAGAGGGAGACTGGGATGCCGCTGAACCGGCCCCTTGCTGACCCAGGCACTCCTCTGCCCCTTTTATGTTTCCTGGGCATGTAAAAACATTTGACTAATAAGGAACAGGCCAAGTCCAGGACTTGTTAGGAAGGACACCCATGCCCACAAGACAGCCTGGTATAGCTGCATGTCCATTCATCACATGGACACCTGCACCACCATCTTGGATCATCTCCCAGGGCTTTCCCCTATGAAAGCCACAGACACAGCTGGGATGTCTGATAGGAACCGTTCCAGTTAATTCTTTGGCATCTCTGAATCTGAGCTTCTGTCATCAGGTATGGTTTTGGGAACTAAAAATAAATTTATACATTATATATATATATATATGGATGTGCAAAAGTATCATCTGTCAAATCCATGGAGGATTGTACAGATTGTTTTCTGTATTACGGGTAGGTATTTTTCTGTGTCACCACTCCTTTGCTGCCAACTACCCACGCACTCTCTGTCCTCCATAAGTACCTGAGCCTGGACAAATTCTTGGATGAGTTTGTCATCCCACTCAGAGCAACTCTATCACCCAGATCCCCAGAAGAGTTGCTGCAGATGAGAGGAGTCTGAGCACCTTAGACCATCTCTTAGAAGGTGTCCATCTACCCCGTGACATATGGACTCAGAAACTGCAGTGGGGTTCAGCTCTCAATAGGTGTGCGCTGGAGTCCGGCAGTGCAAAGAGCCAGCTGGGAGGCTGAAGGGGTCAAAGCCTCTGGCTTAGAGCACGAGGCTGATGGGCAGTGAGCACATTATGACTCTTTCCTCTTGATCTCTTTCCCTGATTTGCACAGAAGCCAGGAACTGCCAAGAGCTCTTGGGTAAAGGAAAGATCCTGAGTGGCTGGTATACCATCTACCCCCAAGGCTGCAACACCACCACTGTCTTCTGCGACATGGACACAGATGGCGGAGGATGGATTGTAAGATGAGGTTTCTATGTCTCTACAGTGTTTTTATTACAGCTGCAAAGGATTGCACCAAAATTGAACAAAAAGGGAGGAAAACACACACTGAGGGGACAGCTGAGGTTCACATCAGCAAGCCTGGGTGAATTCTTGTGGATGCAGGGGATTCTCTCAGGAAATGTCTCTGGGAGCGGGCTGAGTATCACGAACCAGGTGGCGCACGCCTGTAGTCCCAGTACATTGGGAGGCTGAGTCCACCGGATCGTTGAGGCCCCGTGTTTGCAGTCGCAGTGCAACCATTAACTAGAGCGGGCGTCCACGCTACGGCTGGCATCACATCGGCCATGGAAACGCCCCCTCAGGAACCCACCCCCCTGCTTGAATCTGCAATTCATTTCCCCCTTATTCCTGAGGGCAGATGGAGGACATCTGTGAGTGAGGGATCCCCTGGAGTTCAGTCCCCAGGGGTGAACTAGGGAGTGTCCTGAGAGAGACCTACAGGGGTGTCCTGAGGTAGGGGAGCATGCTGCCATGTACTCTGCCACCCAAGTACTGCAGATGCTTTTGTGGGGGTGGGGGAGGGCCTGGCGGGGCTGAGGCTCTCCTTTCCTTCAGGTTTTCCAGAGGCGCTGGGACGGATCAGTGAACTTCTTGCGAGATTGGGCCTCATACAAACGAGGCTTTGGCAACCAGCTTACGGAGTTCTGGTTGGGGAATGACAACATCCACCTCCTCACCTCTCTGGGTAAGGTCTGCCTGCATCCCGGGCTGGGGCCCTGAGGGTCCAACCCCTGTGCCACACTTGGTCATTCATTGGTGTGAATATCTCACATCCATCTGAGGCCACAACAGTTAATCCTAAACAGCATGCAGGCTCTTGCAGCCCATTGCGCACAGGGAATTGCACTTCAAAAAAAGGAAACCTAGAAGCCAGGGAAGCCTTGGAGTCACAGTTTTGTGCAGGACTCCTGGACGTGTAGCTCTCAGTGCCCATGACCACCCAACATCAGATCAGAAAAGGTACTTCAAAAGAAAGCCATCAAAGGTACAGGAGGTTCTGCAGGAATTTCAAATAAATCATAATCTCTCAAGTAGTGAAAGCTCCTCTCAAGTTAGCTCAGGGCTCCTTAAACCCTCTGTCCTAAAATCCAGATATGTATTGACCATCAGCCCTGCACCACTGCTGTCAACCTTCTCTTCTAGGACCCTGTGAACTCCGCATTGACCTGAGAGACTTTGAAAACAACTACTACTTTGCCAAGTATGCTTCGTTCAGAGTTTTAGGAGAGTCTGAGAAATATAAACTGGTTCTAGGAGACTTCCTGGGTGGAAATGCTGGTAAGTTAGCAGCAGGTCACTGGGAAAGGCCGCTCTCTAGAGGATTTCAGAAGTGTTCAGCATTTATAGTGTAGGGCTGTATCATGCAAACTCTTTGTACCATCTACATTTTGGGTCAATTTTTTAAAACTGGCCGTGGTACCCCAGATGCTGAGTGACCTCTGGTGCAGGGAAGGACAAGGTCTCCCATCACCCACAGAGTGTGACCACAGAGCATTACCTACAAGCCAACCACATGGCTTAGCAGCAAATGTGGAGCCTGGTCCTGAGCAGCACCTCATCCAATGTAACCTTCCCAACAGCTCTGCAGCAACCGGCAAAGTTCTGCTTTCAGTTACATTGGAATGAAATTTTTGCCCATGAAATTTGGCATTTCCAGGGCTGGGGTGCTGTTCAATACTTGCAGCATCACCACTGCATTCTCTTAATGCCTGATGTTTTGTTTTTCTCTAAAAAGAACACAAATCCTCTGCAAAATTCAATAACCCTCTTGCAGGAATGAGTGAAACCAACACCTGAGACAGCAGGGCTCTGGATTTATGTGTTTATGTTTACGTACACTGCAACTCTGTCTGGTAGTCCAGACCTCAGTATGTCTGCAGAGAATATTGAGCGGTGCAAGAGAAGAGATACCCCTGTAGTTGCAAGCAGAATCTAGCCCATTTGATTCACATGCATAGATAAGTTCTCTGTGTGTTTTAGGAGAGCTCAGGATACTCCTTTTCTCCAGGACCAAGGAGGAAACCTGGGCAACAAAGAGAACAGCAGGATTTATAAAATCTGCCTTGCATCCAGCAAGGCCCACTGATGCCTTCAGTGGTGCACAGTTCCCTTTTGTGCTCTCCATTGCAGTAACTGTGAACATGTACTCTCTGCAGGAGACTCCTTATCATACCACAAGGACATGCCATTTTCAACAACAGACCAGGACAACGACATGAGCTCCTTTAACTGTGCCACAGAATACAAGGGAGCGTGGTGGTACAATGACTGCCATTACTCCAACCTGAATGGGATGTACTGGCCAGGTGTTCATGGTAGCTATGCTGATGGCATAAACTGGAAGACAGGCAAAGAATACCATTACTCCCATAAGCGAACAGAAATGAAATTCAGGCCAGTTTAACATGGTGAGAGGGTGTCTGACCAGCACTAATGGTGCCACTCAACAGCCAAGAGAAGACACAAAACATAATGTTGTTTGAGCGATAAATTGGACCAGGAAGGATATTACAGGTTGTACCTTCAGCCTAGAGCATGCTTTTAGAGACCAGAAGAGATCAGTACTGGTTTGAGGTCCTGTAAACACCAGACTGTCACCCTGGACTGTCTCCAGCAGCCCCCCAGATGCTGACTGAGCCTGAACAGCTTTTTCTGAAAAGTGCATTACCTTGATTTAAAGACCAAGTGATGGTGAGGCTACTGCATCGCAGTAAAGCTCTCAGATATTATTACACTAAATGGTAATTACTGTTATTTTCTGTCTAATCCACATATGTGAAGCCTCCAGTGTTCTTGCCATTGGACCCATGAGCCATCTGAAAGGCAGTGAATTCCCGACCACGCTGCAGGCTGTGATGGAGCCACAATGTAGACCAGCATGGAAAGGACTGAACTTCCAGCACAGAGCTGTCAGCACTGCCACCTCCTTCCTTCCCTCCCCACTGCCTCACACAGCATGTGCTCCAGGACCTCAGGTGGGACCTCAGCTTCTGGAACCACAGTAGCATTGCCCAGCACTTCCCTCCACAACACAGCTACAGCTGGGACCAGAGTCAGCTTCAGACATTCCTCCAGGGCATGTTCCAAGATCTCATTCTTTAGCCACTGTGGACCAAGAGCCAGATACAAAACAGTCTGTCCAGCAACATGTGGTACCAAGACACTATAGTCCACTTGTGCAAGTCAAGCCTTGCACAAGTGGACATCATGTAAATTGCCACCAGGTACCAGTATCTTCCATTTCACCTTGTTTCCAGTAGCATTTGAAGATGGGCTATCTGCTGGTGGATGGATGTGGCTCATCCAGTTTGTGTGATGTTTTATTTGACTATTAGCAGAACTGGTCAAAGGGTCTCTTCTTCCTGGACTCCTGCTTCTGGACTCCCTCACAGCTGATGTAGGGGAGAAGAGCCTAGTGGTAACTCCTCACTGCAGGGACAGACCAGGCTCACTGGAAGCAGTGTGTTTTTGTGTGGTATGTTCCTAACAGTTTATCACCCTATTTATTGCACAGCTGTGTACAGCTCCAGCCCTACAACACTTGAATGCAAACCTTATGGGCGAGAAGAGCAAAGAGGTGACTCACCCAGCACAACACACCAAGTCACCTATGTGCTATGAAATAAACCTGAGGTTTTGCATGTCCCTATTCAGGGTCCTGTCCCCGGTCCCTTCTTTTCAGGTACATGAGAAAGAGCAAAGAAGCACACACTGCAAGTGCCATAGTCACTTCCCCATTTCCACCATCTCCAAGAGCTCTGTTTTTCTTCTCCCAGTCAGATTGATGTGCCCTCAGCAGGAGCAGGAGCAGGAGCAAGGTCCTGCAGCAGCCAGCTGTGTCTCATCCCATCTGAGAGGCCCAAGATGCTACCACAGACAGTTCTGCAGAACCACAGAATCCTCTGCAGAGATGTACAAGCTGCTGCTGACATTCTCAGCTTTAACCTAGCTAGAAGTGATCAACCCCCTTTTTCTGCTCCCCTCTATCTTGTTCTCTTACTTCACAGAAACTTTCGACATTTAAATGTCATCTGTTAAGCACGCTGATGTTAGAAGGATTAAGAGCACACCGAGAAGAGTTTACCCAAGCCATGTGGTCGATATTCCCAGACCACAACCTGACTCCATAGAGGAAATATTCAGTTAGGACAAGCTATCACCAGTGCTAGGTGAGGTAGCTTGGACCCAGCTGCAGAGTGAAATTCTGCGTCCCTTCAGCTGGCGCACTGAGCCATGGGCTGGTACTGCATCCCCTCCAGCATGAGTCCCAATCACTGCAAGGCAGAAGAATTCTCCCTGTGCTGGTACAGGCATGTGGGGCAGAGGGTCCATGGGACTGATGGTCCATCCCAGGCACCATGCCTGCACCAGCCCCCAGCCCCCTGCAGAGGGCTTGCACTGACTCCAGCCAGGAAGAACTGAACCCCTAAGGTCAGGATCCAGTTCCCTAGTTACATATACATACTATGATTTGTGTTTGGATGCAGCAGACCCGGTAGTCCTGGCACAGTGAACACTTTCCTCCAATATTCCAAGGTGTCCTTGTGAGAGGATTGCCTCTGAAGAGTAACTAATGCTTATGAGTAAGCACAAAACAAGCTGCAGCTGAGGAAGGGAAATAACTTCACCGTGATTTGGTTCTTTTGGCTTATGGGCTGCTGGGGTGGACAAGACGAATCCAGCACCCTTTGCACTATGCTTCTGCTGCTGCTGTTACCTTCTGCCCACCGAAGTGACGTGAAGGGGTGACTTAAAGACAGTAGCTGACCCTGCCACAAACTGAGGGCACGGGGGTGGGGGGGACAATGGACTCAAAATGCCACTCACTCATAAATAATTCTCCTTTGTAAATTACTTTTAACTAAAGGTTTATTATGCCAGCTATGTTGATAGAGCATAAAGCTGTTCGTTTAGTTGTGTTCAGAAACACCGCATTTCTGCAGCACCACTCAGCAGACCCAGGATGATGAAACACAGTAGCCAGGGCTGATGTGGAAAAGAACCACTAGATTTTATTCCCAAATGGCATTTATAAAAACAAACAAAGACACAATGGAGGATGCAGGAACACATGGCCTGTGGAACACAGCATGGCCAGGTCTGTGCCGTTGGCACCTGCGGCAAGCAGCTAACAGAGGGGAGAGAGGCAGAGGAGGCAGTTCCTGGTCAGGTCCAGCAATTGCAAGCCTGCTGCGCTGCCCAGACCCTCCACCCACCATCACAGTCGCTTCAGTGAGTGCCAGGACTCCAAGACATGAAATTCAACCACTGACCTGGACTTTGCATCAGCCTGGCACAGGGGAGGCAGGCAGCCCAGTACCTGGAGGTCACCTCAGCAGGTTTCGAATGTTCACCTCTCCCTCCAGCTCTGACTAGTGAAGAGAAGCTCTTGGTCCACAAAATGCACCAGACAAATTCACAGACCACCTCTGTCCTCTGCAGACTCCCAAGATTGGCTTTTCTAATCCATATGGTACCTACAGACAGTCTCAGTCCCACCTGCCCCTGCAGCAGGCACCAAACATCCTTCTAGCAAGGACCTGATATCCTTCGGTCACCTGAGAGCCAGCATGTGGCCTCACCACGAGAGTGGATGTGTTGCATAGCAAGCCTGGAAGAAACACAGTTCTGATCCACTGCAGCTCAGATCGTGTTGCTAATGCTATCCTTTGTGCTCTGTGCTACCCATCACCACTACCATCTCTCCCTCCCCTGCCCCTACCCTGGATCTGTTTAATCTTTGAGCTTTTTACCCTGAGCAGATAAATAAACCCAAAAGACCTTTGTTCATACTGCAGCAGCACCAAAGCATATACAATTCCACATGCCTTTTCTACTGTGTCCCAGTCCCATGGCTGTTGCTCTGCAGGATGTCATATGTACGGCTAGAAGAAGGACCAACCCAGTCTGCAGTAGGGCACCACCAGCACCAAGCCTTGCTGGTCCTGGGAAGGGGGTGGCCAGCAGAGGAAAGTGCCCATGGAACAGGACACCTTCCCCCTGTAACAGGCCATTTGAGGGATAAGTATGTTGAAGTATCTTCCTTTAGTCTTAGTCTTGTGCGGGAAGAGCAGAGGAAGAATAGACTCCAGCTTGGCAGACCAGGCAGCACTGGGAGGGCTGGAGAAAAGCTTTGTGAGAGCAATGCATCTAGCCAGGCACTGAGCCAAGGTGGACAGCTATCCATCATCCATAGTGGCCTTTGGAAAAGGCTTTGTATCCTTAATGCTTTGGGTGTTAGGCCATACTATTGGATTCCTCATTCTCAAGCATATTTCTCTATGGAATAGGGAGCCTGGGAAGCCTTAGAAGGTTGCAGTTAGCTTCTCAGGTCCATCTCCTGGTAGCCAAATATACACCCTGTGATTTTCGTCCAACACATTGCTGTGATGCTGGTGGTGGGTGGTTCTCACTGAAGACACACACGTATATCAGTGCTGTTTGCACTGCTGTTGCAGTCCATTTCACTTCACTGGTCTGAAGTTCCCAAACTGGTACAAGACAAAAAGTGGCCACTCTCCCTCCTCCTTCTTTTCAGTCTTCTACTTCTTGAGGCTTTGCTTCCCCCCCACTGGCAGTATCCAGCTGGGATGAAGGTATTTGCTGGGCAGTTTACTGTTGAGCGAGAGGTTTCTTGCGCAAATAAGTCAGTATTCCACAAAAGCACAAAGGCATGTCTGGGGAATGAGGAGCTGCAGATGCCCCCTGGATATGTGGCTAAGGTAGTGACCCTGGTGCCATTCAGTGTGTTTCATGCAAGCTCCTGATTTCTTATAATCCCTGGTGAAAATGCACCATGGTCCTCCACTTGGTCTTTATCCCAGCACACCACTGACACTCCCTTCTGTAGGCACCATGGCACAGAGACATTAGGCTATATATTACACCAAATCCAGCTCCAAAAGCTTGAGATGAGGACTCTGGGTAGATCTACCACTATGTGGGAGAACAGCCTTCAAGCTGTAGGCTGAAGGCACATTGGGCAAAACACTGTACAAATACTTTTTGGACAGATGAATGATCCTTGTTTCAAGAGCCTACAATCTACAAGAACAGAGGCACAGCTCCACCACTATACAGACATACCTATTTACACCCACAAACATTTTGGTCCCAGCAGAACATGTCTTTCAGAACAATGGCCCAGCAATCAGCTGATCTGAGGGCAGGGACTCAACTGCTCACCTCTTTCCCTTAATTTGCAATGCCAGACCATTTCTAGCCATTATTCTTTCCACCTCTGGTTTGGATCCGCAGCCCTAGCACCTTCCTCTGGCCCACACAAGAAAACACAGCATCAAAACACACAGAAGTAGTTTGCAGATGCTGCAAAATTTAATATGTGTGTGCAAAAGGGTTATTTCATCCTCCTAATGAATATGTCAGCCCAGCTGGAGTTATTAGGTAGACTGAATAATGAGAATCTTTTGTGTGTAAATAATGGGTGAATGTCTCTTGTAAGGTGTGCTAGATTTGTGAATTTCCACCTAGCACCTGATGTCAAATAAAGCAATATCTCCTCTCTAAACTGCTTCTGGCTTTGAGAGCTTTTGTTGCAGGTAACAGCACAACATGCCCTGACTTGCCTTGCCCTGCCTTTCCTGTTTGCCATCCATTACCTTGCTTTGCCTTGTCCTGCCCTACATTGATCTGCCCTGCATTCACCTGCCCTGTCTTGCCTTGCCCTCCCCTGTGTTTCCTTCCGTTGGCTCGCCTTGCCTTCCCTTGCCTGGCTTTACCCAAGCTTGCCCTTGCTCTGCTCTGCCTTGCCTTGTCTTGCCCCCTCTCCCTGCTTTACCTTGCCTTGGCTTCCCCCTGCTCAGCCCTGCCTTGCTCTGGCCTGCATTGCCTTGCTTTTCCTTACCCTGCCCTTCCTATCTCTGCCTTGACTTGCCTTGTTTTGTCTCACCTTGCCTTGCCCTTCATTGCCTTTCCTTACCTTACTATCCTTGCTTTGCTTTGCCTTGCCTTTCCTGCCCTGACCTACCCTACCCTTCCTTGCCTTGCTTTACCCTTCCTTGCTACTGAAGACTGAGGCCCTGCCCTGTCCTTCTTCCCCTGCCTTGCCTTCTCTTCCCCTTCACTTTCTCCTTCCCCTTCCCCTTCTTTTATTTTCTTTCTCCTAAGCACAGCTGCTTAAATCCTTGCCCTGTGAAATCCAGTTGGATTAGCAGGCTGAGTCAGTCAGGGCAGGATACTTTTAATACAGGGGCAAATTCTATTGTCAAATGTCTATTTCCAGGTGGGTTTCCCTATATAACATCAAGCCATAGAGGAAAATTAATGATTTTCCCTTGCTGAAATGTTCTATAAAAGGTCCAGTGTAAGGCCAGGGAAGGTCATGGTGGTGGGCTGGGTTGGTAATGGCTGTGGCCAGTTGTCAGATGCCAGGGGAGCTGGAGTTTATGCCTGTGCCAAATGTCTGCCTTTCTTGCAGCTTTAGGAGTTGTGTGGCAATCTCCTTAGGTTAGTACAGAGTAGAGTGCAGTAACTGTGGCTTGCTGCTTGTTTTAGGTATTTACAGATTTTGCAACTTTCCCCGCGCTCCGTGCAAACCTGTAGCATCCTGGTGGCAGCAATGCACCAGGACCCCACCATGACCCAGAATTTCACTTACAATTTTGCATTAACCAGTGCTAAATCCCTGTT